TGAGCAGAGGTGTTGGGGTGAGCAGGGTCTTGCTGCCGGCCGGGCAAAACCCTGCGGGGAGCAGCTGGCACATCGTCATTTTGCTGGTTTTCCCGGTCACCCTTTGTACCCGCCCTGTAGTTCTCGTGGGCTGCAGTGTCCACCCGCCAGGAAAGCGAAGCCAAGGCGGTTTTGGTGGGCGGGGAGCAGCTGGCACATCGTCATTTTGCTGGTTTTCCCGGTCACCCTTTGTACCCGCCCTGTAGTTCTCGTGGGCTGCAGTGTCCACCCGCCAGGAAAGCGAAGCCAAGGCGGTTTTGGTGGGAGGTTCCCCGGGCGCCGCTTTGCCCAGGTTCGGGAGCGCTGCCGCGAGCCTTGTGCCGCAGCAGCCTGCGGGGCTGCCCCGGGCGCCCCTTTGGGCCCCGGCACTGCCCGGGAACGCTCCTTTGGTCCTCAGCTGGCCACAGCCGGCACAGTTCATTCCCCTGTTTTGCTAATTACCAGCTGCTTCCTATAGCGTTAGGGCATGCAGGCTAGAAAAGGATCGCAGGGGGATGCTCGTGCACACAGGCAGCACGGTGAGGGCAGTGCTTGGCCTTGAGTGGGCTGGCACTTTCCCCCCCTTTGCATTTTATAGGATATTTTGCTTAGAAAAAGAATGGTGCTGCCCTGTGGTGTGATTTCTTCCTCCTGCCTGCCTCTCTTTCCACTGTGAAGCTAAATCTCCCCACACTTTTTTTTCCCCCCCCAAACACTTGAAAAAAGTTCCTGTTTTCTCCTGTGGTGAGAGCTGATGTATAGATGCTAGGAAATATGAAGTAACCAAATCAAGTACTTAATTTTTAAATAGGCACCATGAAGGAAAAAAGTTGGTCAAGCATCTGTCAGCACCTGCCCCACTGCACGGATTTAATTACTTCTGCTTTCCCAGCTTTCATACATTTCATTTCAGTTTTTAATATGGAAGAGAAATAGACTTAAGTAGTTGACATATTAATCAGATCATCCTGACACCCGTGGTAAAGGAGATTATGTAGAAGAAAATGTTTGTGAGTGTTATGAAACAGTTAGAAATTTACTTGGGACTTGTATGACAAATTCAAAGGCGTCTCCTTAAGGCTTTTATTCTTGATCCATCTTCGGCCAGGACAGCAAAACTGGCCAAGTCCCACTTGCTACATCTAAACTGTGTTTTTAATAAAATATTTTTGCCAGCGTCTCTTCTTCAAGGGAAATGGAAACATGTGCCGGTGCCCCCGCTGCGGTGAGGCCGCTGGGCGTTGCAGTGGCAATGCAGACAGAAGGCAGCTGGCTGTATGAGCAGTTCTGCCGGAAGGCAGGTGAGCAGCGGCCGTGCGCTCCGGC